CAACGTTTTTTGCAAGTTCGCCTTGCACGCTTTAATATATGACGAATTTTTTAAAATCATCATCAGCCCTTCTGTGTTATTGATTTATTGAGACTTTATTTATTTTGTTCTACGTAATTAATATTAAATTTGTTTTGCTTTAGACGTCTTTTTCTAGATCAAAAACTAAATTTAAACTAAATAAATCGTACGTATCGTTTTTATAACACTTATGAAACAAATTTATATTAAATATTTCATATTTTTTTTTACGCAAACATTCCACAAACTTCATTAAAACTTAAAAGACGTAAGTACCTAGGTAATTAGATAACGTACAAAACAGAACAATCTTTTCATATGTTAAATGTCAAAAGAGTTCTATTAAAAGTTATGAGAGAGGAAAAATGGATTGTAGTAATTGCTTAAGTTGCTCTCCAAGTTTATATACTTAATTATATTTCGTATATAAAGCAATTCTTATATTCTTTAATAACAATTTTATGCTATCATATAGTAAATAAAACATCAAGTAAAACATTGTCGACATAAATATTATTATGTCCCCGCCATTTGAGCGGAAATAATCTTCAAATAAGCAGCCTCATCCTATGACGTTGACGTGACCTTTTTATAAAAACATAATTATATAGAGTGGACGAAACATTTGTAAGACAATGACATCACGATATTATATGTTTTAACCACCCTTTTATTTACTCATCGGATGTGAAAATAAGAGAATAGTCGTAAATAATTGTTGTTTGTACTTTATAGAAAATTGCAATCTAAGGGTTATTGCTGGTTCAGTTCAAACTGACAATATATCTACAAAATAAGATAAATATGTCATAAAAAATAAGATAAAATATACATAAAAAATCATAACGAAAAAGTATAAGTAAAAAAGTGAAAGTTATACAAAGAGTTTATATTATCCTGTCCTGCACATTGGTATTGAGGCTAAGATTCGGCCTATCTTAGTTCCCAAACCGGCCAAGAGTGAATCGAGCTCAGGCGCAGATGGTTCGGCGCGAATATAAAATTGTATATACTACACTTTTTTTTTATATATAATCAATATATATTTTTTTTTTGTATGGTAGACCGAATACTCCAACCACTGCTCTATCTAGCTCTACCATTCATATATTGAGCTTGAACCCCATTTTTTACATAAATAATTTTGATGGGTTACTTGCTAATGCTAGTAACGCTAAATGTTGATGTTGCCTGTACTTTTATCTTCCTCTGTAAGGCATTAAAGATATTATTTAAGAGATACTTTGGCGAAATAATAAGGAAAAATGCTTAAAAAACACTTTGTCCATGCATCAAATTTAATAAGTATTATGTATGGTAATTTTTATTCAATATTATTATCCCGCTATATTCAGTGCTTCTCATGGAAATTTAGGAACGGGAGGCGTAGTTTTCGACATTCATGTGTGATTCATAACAGCCTAGATAGAATAATATTAAATTTTATGTACCAAATTCCATAAAAAAATCTTTTAATCGATTTAGTATTCAGAGTAACTTTAATGTTACCTAACGAAAACAAAACATCACCGCTTTTTGAAATAACTTAAGTAATATCGTAACTAAAATTATATAGGTTAATTTTAAAATTATGTTTATACTAGTGGACGCCCGCGACTTCGTCCGCGTGGAAGTCGGTATCCCGTGGGAGTGAGAAGTTTTCCCAGTAAAAAGTACCCTATGTGTTATTCTGATGTATAACCTATATTGCTGTAAAGTTTTATCCAAATCCGTCCAGTAGTTTTTTCGTGAAAGAGTAACAAACATCCATACATCCATACTTACAAACTTTCGCCTTTATAATATTAATAGGATTAAATAATTTTATCTTGTGTGTTTCACAAAGGGCTTCATTAGTCTGACATGTGCTACTATAAGCATACATTTTTAAACGATATTACATTATTTTGTCTTAATAATACACGCATACAAACTTGTATATAATTCTTAGCTATAATTTCTCTTAGCATAATAATGTTTCAACATGATATTATAATATTAATGCATACATTTAATAACTTCTATAAAATCTCGCTAGTCTCACTTTGCTAGCTCGGCTTCACTTTAACAATTCATCGGTTCTTACACGTTCTAGGCTAGACAACTAACTATAAAGATAATTTCCAAAACAAATATCCCAAAGTACTTATTAAGGTATACAAATATTATATAAAAAATAAGTAATCCTTATAACAATTCATTAGTCGCTGCCTCTTACTTATAAGAATCATTTGTGGGAATATATTAGTTAACACCATGTATAGATATTAGTAAACGCATTTAGGAAGACTTTTAAATGTATGTTTTATCATCGTCTTTCTAAATAACAGGTCCCACTTTAATCAAAAACCATGTAACAAAAATATCCAAGTATAAATAGTGAGCTGACATTATTTAAAAGGATTAATGTATCTACCTAATGTACTGGTATAGTCATTGATAGTAGAAAGTAAAATATCCGTTGTGCCTTATAATAAATACTAGCTACATCAAAGTTTAATCTTCAATTCCATTAGTTATCAATCGTTTGTCTTTAACCGATATAACACAACCAATATCACAGATTCAACATAATCAAAAATCATGTTTACTTGCTAAATCAAGCATTACATTTATCAAGGCTCCAAAAGTTATATGAACACAAGAGTTGCGACATACCTAAATCATTGTACTTAAATGAATATTGGACGGATTCCAAAGTAAACGTTCATTACAAAGTGTTTTAGCCTATATGGAAAAAAAATATTTCGTTTCTAAAAACGACCAGTTTTGACAGTTCTGACATTTCTGTGATAGTAGCATTTTAAAGAATTAATTTTTCACAATCACGAACCTATTAATGTCTTCGCTGCTGTGTTCAGACATGTCCTATGGATGGAAACGAATCGGGAGAATAAAGACCTATTCTTAATACAAAATGCTTAAAAAATCCACTTGGATTATTATTATTATCCCATCTCAGAGTACCGGGGATCAATTGAATTTTAAGCCTTTTGTATTAAGAACATTTTTCAGTATAGCATTGTGAATGCGAAATTAATCAAATATAGACCTAGACTCACCACGTGGGCACGTCAGAGTGTGGTGGCTGTTAACAACTGCAGATGGTACTCACGACTAAACGTGCCTGCCGAAGCTAGGAGGATCTCGAAATAATAAATTTTTGGTCACCCAACCTATGACTGACTATTATGAAAGTTGCCGTATCGTAGATCGAGCGTGCTTACTACTGCGCCATCAACCTCCTTTATCGAATTAAAAAAAAATGACAAAGATAATAATCAATCAAAACTCTGCCTAATTTATAACAATCTCGTCGTCGGCTTTAAAAACAACCGCAGAAAATGATCGTGAATAATGAATTGATTTCCCTTTGGCATTCGCTTACAGCCATCTCGAATTTAAGACAGACTAAAAACATTCTGCTTGCTATTAATAAACATGAGAAAGTTACATTGTTTGTTTTGGATTGTATTTTGTATATTTATCATTGAAATGAATGAGCCTGTTTGAATGAAATGACGTGTGTTCAGTAAGCAGTAGTGTTGTTTAATACGATTTATTTCTATCTTATGTTGAAAAACGCATGTAAATATCAATAATCTGGCGTACTTTAAAATTTTGTCTATTTTTTTTATCTGTATTGTGTACGATAAAAATATTTTTGCAATTTATCCAAAAAGACGTATCTTTTTGGATAAATTGCAAAAATATTTTTATTTACATTCATTATCTTATACTTGTTACACAGGTTCAAATACTGTCAGCCAGAAAAACTATAATAATTATAATTAATGAAAAATTGTACATCAATATTTTCCCGTTTTCACTTATTTCGGAATCACCCAAATCTGTAGCTTTAATATTTAGGGATCTTCTAAAGTGAAAATGCATTTTACCAATGACTAGGAACCACCTAACAACTTTAAGCAATTTCTAAAGTTATTACATGCGTTATGCGGTGCCGAACGCTAGGAATTTGCATATTATATGACAGACAAGTCACAAAAATGTTTATTTTGAATTAAACCAATGTGCTTAGACAATTAATAAGATAAGGCGTTTCCTAGCTAAAACAGATGTTAGTAGACATGATATTACGAAATTTAGTTTTTTTTTTTAGAAAATATAAGTAACCAATACTTCCTTACTTACATATTATATACGTTCTTATGATTAGTAGCATAAATTATTATTTTAATTAAGCAATGCGCGCGTCCCACTGCCAGTCCACCATTATTCTTGTCATTCGTTGTGTAGCTCAATTATCCTAGAAGAGCTTTCGCGAAGTTCATGGCATATGAATAGGATCAAAACCTCTTCAGATTCAACGACTCGTATAATTACGGTCAAACTTCACTTACGTAATTTTAACCTTCTGTAATACCTCATCCTTGAGTATTTTTTAAACTAAACGTAAAGAAAAAAGACGAGACGAAATCAACGCGTCCGTCTTTGTAATAGATAAGTATAGAAGATGTTGTGTGTTGGGCATGAAATCTATTTTAATTAATTTCTCGCAAACCATTAAAGTAAAATTAAAGTTCTTCATTATAAAACAACTTTCATATTTTCTTATTTTAACTTTACCAATAATCATTGCTTAAAATGGAAATATAGTGAATTTCAGGAGACTTTATGATTTTTTGTCAATAGAGAAAAAAATATTTTAACTATGTGTAAACCAATAAAAATATGATATAGCTTTCTCATTTTCAATGACAGCTTATAAAGACGTTATTTCCTTGTACAAAACCAAATGTTTTCATCAAAAATTCATAAACATAAAAATTTTCAAGAGATTATGTGTTTTCAAGAGAAATATAAACAAATTTGTTGATTTGCAAATTTTATGTTCATTTAATATATTCATAAAGTACATACATCAAGACAAAAAATCTTCAATAATATCTCAATATATAATGTACGAGTAATATTGTAAACGATTGGAATATGAAATACACTGAAGTTACACTTACCTCAAATAAAAAATGAAAATTAGAAAGTTTTTTCCCTCTTTAATTACACTGCTAGCACAATCATCACTCATTAACTGTAATCAAATACATCACGCGAAAAAGTTTTTCATTTTACAATACAGTTTTTCTAATTAAAAAGTTTGGAAATCACGACATAGATCAGAAAAAAATAAAGAAAATCAATTATGTCAAAAATAATAAAATTTTAGTTTAAAATTGGAATAGGAAAGTTCTAATAGTGAAATGCTTCACTTCGTACGCGCTCGAACTTTATGTTTGGAACGTAGACGCGACGAAACTCGGCCGACGGCCACCGCAGCCAGATTTGAACTGTAGCTACAAGTATGTTAAGCTCGAACGCTACGGTGCCTAATAGCCGTAGACAATCTCGGGTGGGCTCCTCTGCATTTAGATTTATAGGTATTTAAAGGGTATTAGTGGAGAACTTTTTATATTATTAAAAGTAAATTAAAAGGGCATCTAAAAATCGTTAATAGAAAATAATATTTTAAAATAATTTAAGTCCTCTGTGACATGAAGATCTTAACGCTGTTAAAACGATTTCTTGAATTATTTCAAACATTATTAAGCGTTGTTTTTATACTTGTACAAAACCAGTCCCTATGGCATCCGCAAAACGAGTAGTTGTCATTTATAATAATTACATGATTGAAGATTTCAAACGATGTGCGTCAATGGACGCACGATACGCAACGGATTGTACGGATTTACCGATGTCATATGTCCACTGCATCCGTATTTTTAATAATAATTCCATTTGACAGTTTTGAAGTGTCTCTGCGAAGTAGCTCTATGGAAGTAATAAGACATCATACGGTACGCATCGCGTTCTCTTTGCTCACATAATGCGTACGGTCGATACGGCCGGTACGGACGATAGTGAACGGAGTGCCATACAAATTAATACAAATCTAAGAAAAAATCGTTACATTCGTGCTGATTCATTTGGATTTAAACCTAATGAATTTTGAATTGTGTTGCAAAAATCTACTTGTTTAAAATCGCCCTTGTTCATAATTAATATAATTTCAAATCAATTGAGAAAAAAGAAATTCCAAGGAATGGTACAAATTGAAATATGGATTAAATATTTGCTAATATACACAGAAACAATTAAAGTTAATCCAGACTAATATTTAAAAAAAACTAAAATACGTCAGACTTTTGCTGTTAATCAAAGAGTATCTATGTAATACTTAAGGATCAATTCATAGTAGCATACGATCGAAGCATCAATTTAAAATAGCGAATTCACCCTTGCTCCAAGAACCATACTTCGCGCCATTCTCACGTATTCGCGTGACCTTAGTTTACTGAAGCATGCGAATTCGCTTCTTGTTTTTGTTATAGAATAAATTGGAAAACTACGTTTTAAAGTATAAATGCGTATAAATGCTCGCGTTTTTACGATTATGCTAATCATTTCATACAAAATGAATAATAATTAAAGAAAAACAAAAAACCCGACTATTAAAAATGAATTTAAAAAAATACATGAAAAAAATAAATAAAAAAATAAATAAAAACTAAAAAGAAAGAAACAAGTCAGTAATTTAGAATTCTGTTAAGTAATACAGAACAGAACGACCCATAGTCGGGGTCCCTTGGGAAGATTTTATTGGTAAAATTTGAATGGGCCCCGATGGTAAATTTCGCAATCTAGTCATTTCATTGAAGGAGTTAATATCCTGGGGATTATTAAGTAACTTACGGTGGGCTAAACTACTGATGATTAGTCCCTCTAGAGACCTAACTCGGCTCAAAGCTACATATGCTTTATTGTTTTACCAAAACTATTTATGCTTCATGCTTTTTTACTGTTTTTTTTTTTGTTTGTAAACACATTACCGTCCTTTGCGTCGCGCAGTCGGGTAAAAATACTCTATATACAATAATTCAAGCAATTTGAGCAAACACGAAATCGTGTTATTATATCGGCCCAGCGATCAAAGCTGCGCTGCATCGAAATCGTATTCAAATACATCTAGCATGTTTAGTAATGCAGACGAGAATAAGATTGATAGCATACCTAACGGTCGAGGTTAAGGCTGAAAGCGAATGAAATGAAATCTCTTTACATCTCGCATTTTATACATTACAGTTTATTCATTCTTCTACATAAAGGTAAGTGGATATAATGATATTTATCTTAGTCTTGTACAGTTAATGTACCGTTATATGGGAGACTAGAGCCTGAAAGAAATTTTTAGACTATAAAATAAAGTCGAGAAACAGAAAATTACTTAATTAGCTAAAATTGAAAATGAAAACAAAAAAAAAGAATAATTATGACATAGATCTTTATCTTATATGTAGTAGTGAGTGTACCACCAATGTACGCCAGACTGGGCCAACGTGGTGGGTCTTGGCCTATTCTCCCTATAAGATTTGATTCGATTCCATCCTCAACGAAGGCCTGAGCCCCCAGCAGTGGAGACGTTAATAGTCTGGTGATGATGTAAGTGAGTGTATAAGTGTTTGAGCGTGTGTGAGTGTTTGAGCGTGTGTGAGTGTTTGAGTGTGTGTGAGTGTTTTTTTTTTTTGTGTGAGGGCTCGTGTGGGAATGCTAAGTATAAGTTTGTATTCTGAAGGTATGAATGTTTAAAAGGAGTGTGTATGAGAAGTGGATAAGAGACAATAAAGTCGAAAAAGCATTAATTTCGTAGCTGTGGTAAGCGTCACTGTTGCTGGCAGTCGCCAGGCACTGTTTTGGAGTCATATAAGTTTCGAAAATAGGCGAAAATTCGTTTTCGGAAAAAATATTGACATTTTGGTATACGATGGTTTCATATCAAACCAAAATCAATTATTCAATATAGGCTGTTACAAAGTACTTGTGAAAGTCGAAACTTTATCCCATCGGTTCATATGAAAACCCGGGAACGGCTTTTTTGCTTATTTTATATGTTTTTATACAAAGAGTTATAAAATTTCTTTCTTTCGGCACGTTCTAATCGAAATTTACAATTTAGCCTGGAATAAACAATAATGTCAACACAGCGTGTCACCTGCCGTAAATCATTTTTTGTCTTTTACTGTCATTGCAATAAAATTTCAATAATATGGTTATTTACAATCTCAATTGATCATTTTGTTTTGAAATTTAATCGTGATTTTGTGAGTTAAAACCAGGCCACGCTGTGTGTGATGTAGCTATGTTAATATGTCATAGTGAAGGAGACAATATTCGCATTTTTTAAAATTACAATTTCATATTATCATAAATAGTATTCAAATATTTTCTGTTTATAATATATATTATAGACTGTTATCTAAACAACGCAAATAATTCATTTCATTCCGTATACAGAAAAAATTGTAGTCAGTACCAAAAAAATAATATTCTGTTGATTAAATTGAAGCATACTCACGTTTTTCTTTCTCTCTTTTTTAACCTGCTAACATTGGACAAAAAGAGATGTCTATAAAACACATCGCTACTTACAGTATATATACTGTAGGTCGATGATCACTACTAATAAAATTTACAATGATAGATTAGTGAACATTACAATATAAATTAAATTGATATTATAAATTTATAATATTCTTAACGGATTTTAATATTCTTAACTTTATAATATTCTTAATGGATGCGGGAGGCGCTGGATGCGGGAGGCGCAGGACCGATCGCTTTGGAAATCTTTGGGGGAGGCCTATGCCCAGCAGTGGGCGTCTCTCGGCTGAAGTGATGATGATGATGATGATGAATATTCTGAACCCTATTCTTGGCAATAAAGTATAGTTATACTAAAGAGAGGAACTTCATGGCACAGTGGTTAGCACGCTCGGTCTGTGATACGGTTGTTGAGCAAACGCAAGGGCCTGTCATAAATTGTAAATTATGTTCTATTAACGATACTAAACCATAAAAAAAATTGTAACACCGATAATGCTTTTTCCCGTTTATTGGTGTTCGATTTATATTATCGCTAATGCTGCCCTATATCCTAATTGTATTAGCATGTAGAAATCGAGATAATAAAATTCATCAATTACTGTCGTACATGCATGCTATCTCTACATTGAACACGCAAAGTAGTTTAGCTACAGTTATTGATTTACTTTTTTTATCTAAGTATATGTTACAAGTAGTCAATAATAAGTCTAGTGTCAACGATAATCATTATGATTTATTAATCATAATGATTATCGTATGACACGCTGTCCCAAGGGACAGCGCCTATTTAATAGAAATAATAAAAAAGCATATAGTGATATATGAGTCCTTTTTCTGACTATTATAATCGTATTTAAAATTTGGCATAAACGTTATTACGTTATACGACGGTTAGCCGTTTAATAGCATTTTAGCAGTTTTCTCGTTAAATAAATATAACATTTAACATGTTCAATAAGTTGACTTCTAATCCTATTCTTGGCATGGGGTATTATTTGAAACGGTAAGTTTCAAAAATATCCGTGAGCTAGTTCATGAGCTCACGGATATTTTTGAGTTTATTTATAATAACATATGGTATTCTTTAAAATAAACAATAAATAATATCCCGTTTATCACCGTAATGTAGGTATTGCATAATCAGAACCCAGTACTTAAAGTAAAATAAAACTATAATTATAGACAAAAAGTTTTCTACGTTGTCCCAACTGACAATTTTAAAACCAATCAGCTTGCGAGCCACCAGTCGTGACCTTATTATTTTTTATTTTTGATAAATTTTACATTCACTATTTTGTTATATTAGTAAATATTTGGTTATTAAAGTTAGTTATTAAAGATATAAAAATATCGATGAAAATACACTCACTGACGCCGATGGTAAATATTGCTAGTTACATTAAGGCCTCGGGCACTCACCGATAATTCAATTGGAAAAGCAGTCATCCTGTTAACGAAAGGTCATAGGAGAAAATTCGATTTGAAGATGCTTGCAAAGACTGCATATTTCTGCGCTGTGGCCCTAACTATTATCTTACCACTACACATTTTTAACCATAATAAATCTATCGTAATATAATTATGGAAGGGGTTAAACAAATCGTAACTTTAGAATAATTTTGTTATCATAATAATTTAGTGTGTCACAATGACTACACACAACACAAGACATAGACGGCAACTACCAGGGTCAAGTTACGTCAAAGTAGACTAACCCTTAATTGGTTGTATAAAAAGATGTATTTTTTAATTACGAAGAAATATTTTCTTAATTTCGTGTTCGAATTTAAAAATAGATAATTAAATTTAAATTTTAATATTTATGAATATTTCCACATTAATTTTAATAGTAGTATCAAAACTAGGTATATGGCAAAAAACCGGTCAAGTACGAGTCGGATTCGCGCACGA